GTAGTCGAGGGAATTTACATGCATCTCAGACACACACTAGCCTACCTAGATGTGATAGCCTCGGGGTAAGAACTGGAATCTTACATGCATCAAATCTTAGGGTCCTTAGTTTATTACAGATTTCTGAGAGGCCAGGTGAGGACCGAAACTCAGCATGCATCAGAAGCTCACATCGCGAACCTAGTCGAGTATAGGGTATGGTTCCAAAATTTACGTGCATTGAAATTAGTACTGATATAACCCAAAATTTATGTGCATCAAATGTGTACCATCAAACAATATCAGTATACTCATATCAAAGGGCGATCATCATAGTACTAGAGTAACTCGGGTTTTAGAACTATTTCTTGAGTGTCACACAAAGGCCAATCTTATGTCGTCCTATCTTGATTGGTTTCTAGTTGAGAAATTAACAATCTTGATTGTTTTCACTTGTATTGAATACTTGTATCTTATACGAACTCAAAACACTTAAGCCTGAATACCCAAATCAATTACCCAAAATTATCTAAAAATCACTGTGGGTCTATATTATGCCCACAGTTTCGATACCAAAATTTGCTTCGATGGTTTGAAAAATATTGTGGTATCGATACCCCTTTGGGGAGTATCAATACTCTACCCTAGGTATCGATACTCCCATGAGTATCGTTACTAAATTTGGCTTCGGTGTTTTTAAAATGCCTCAATATCGATACCCTTCGAAGGGGTATCAATACTCCCATTATAAATTACTTGGTTTTTTCCTTCCATTAAGAAAAGTATCGATACTATTCTTCCAGTATCGATAATGATGGACATGGGTGCTCTATTTTGAGCACGACAACATACCCAAATCTAACCAATTCACTCCCCTAAGACAAACAAACTTTTTTAAAGTCTTATTTAGTGTCTTAGAGGTTAAAAGGTTTCAACTTTCATGCTTGTAACAAACTAATACGAATTTCACCATGAATTTACTCTAACATGCTTCATGAACTAAACATAAAAAAATGCATATACCATGACCTACATATAGGATGATAAAGTTAGAAACGTGTTACCTTGAAGGTAGTTGACTGGAAAACATCCTCAAATCACCCAAGGACTAGCTTTTGAGCTCTCCCCTTACTCTTGCACTAATAAAATCAAGCATAATGAGTTGTTAACTCATTTTGAACCTTAGTAAGAAGCTAGAAACATTATCTTACAACTTAAAACTCATAAAACAAACCAGAACTTAGGATTTTATAAACCGCTACTAAACATGTTTTTGGGTATCTCACCCAAACCTTGCAAATAAGAGCTCAAATTGAAGCTTAGAAGATGCAAGATGTTGCTCTCACCTTAGAATTCACGATGGATACTTGGGTTTCATAAAGCTTGGACCTTTGTTGAATTCTTGGGGAGAAAGAATATGGTAAGAAAAGAGGAAGAAGACAAAGTAATGGTGAGGAAAAAGAGATGGCATGCAGCAGACGGTAATATCATCCCAACTAATGGGATTTCAACCTTGTTTGGAAAATTGGTCAAATTACTCTCCTAGTTCCTCCTCATTTAGCCCAAGAATATAAACACCCCTTTTTAAGCTTGTTGGGCTTACCTCAATCCCAAATCAATTATATTTGGGTTCAATGTTTCATAAACTAAGGGAGAATTATCCCAAAGCCTGATCGAACAAACTCGAAACTCCTAACCCAGAATTTGGGGCGTTACAAATACTATAAACCCTTACATTTTTAGAGAGTTTTCAAATCGGTAATGAGGTTTTAAAAACACTTTAAATTAGTCCAAAAAATTGGAATGTGGCACAAGGTTTGACACATGGCCTAATTTTTAATTTCATTTAATTTAATTTTTTCATATTTTTTAGAAAATACCCTAAAATTATTTAAAATATCTTACAAAACCAGACACAACCCCATGCATCGCAAGGGATCGGATTCCCCATCGGCCACATCATGAGGCCACTATTTTTTCTAACACAAATGACCCATAACAACTATGATTTCTTGAAGAATTGTTTCAACTATTGTCGAAACCTCTTTCTCAAAGTCTTTTTGTCTGTAATAATTATGGATTGAACCATATTTTTAACACTAAAACTTTCTTCTTTTACGGTATAGCCCTACGATTAATCTCTCTAAAATTTTCTGAAATGTTTCATCCACATTCCTATCAAAGTTATATAAGAAATTTAGCTAAGAGATTTCTGAAACAACATGATTCAAATTCAGCAACCATTGTCGAACTGTTTAATCCTCTTTCCTCTCAAAACCAAACAAATAAATAATAAATAAACATGCCTAAGATTAACAATCTTATACCTCCCTTCCAATTGCCACAATTGTTCACTCGAAAAGAAAGAGTCTGGTAAAACTTTTCCAAAAATAGAATGAGTATAGTATTGCACCACTACTTCCTTGAGGATGGTGTGGGGATGTAGGAGTGTATCTAATTGGCGATGATAGTGATGGCTAGTAACCGACATTGATTGCGATGATTAGTAATCGATGATGGCTGTGACAACAAAAATAACAATTGGGAATGATAATTGGATTTAGGGGTTAGGGATTTTAAAGTGACCATTTGTGTAATTTACCCTTGTACTTTTATATTAGGATAAACTACACCAGATACCACTAAACTTTAAGTATTGATTACCAAACTTTCAATTTTGTCAATTTCAGTACTAACATTTAATTTTTAGTACAATTATTCCACTCCATCGTTAATGATCTAACGGGATGATGACATGATAATCGTGTGTCGTAACATTGCTGATTTGGCTACCTCAGCAAAACGTTGTTGTTTTGCCATGACTATTTTGATGCTCATAAAGCAAAAACAATGTTGTTTTATTAATGGAAAAATGCTATTTATGGGATTTTAACCAGAGATTTGTTAGACCTAATGAAAAGCAATCAATCACCAAGCTACCTTAAGAATTTATTATAATTCTAACGAAATTAATATACATGTTAAATAATTTTTTAATTAATATCATTTTTATATTTATACTATTTTATAATATATATGATTTATAATAAATAATAATTTCTTTTAAAAAACCCTAAAAATTTTAAAATTCTCAAATTCCCCTAAACCCCAAAACCTTAAGTACCAAATCCATAATTTCACTCATTATCGTCGCTAAATCAACAAACACCATGCACCACTTCCGGCGTCGAACCTTTACCACCAATTACCCCACTATATTGTCGTTGGAAATTGGTGAATGGTGTGTTATTTGAACATTAAACGTTGAATCTAAATATTCTATCAAACCTTGAACGATGACCGATCAAATAGCAAATATCAAATGATGTGTACGATCAGATAAGGAAGCTTCAGTGCGAAGACAATGGCATGCTATTGACGAAGATGTTGGGTGAATTTATGGATTGTGATTTAGAGTGTAATATTTTTAGAATTTAAAAGAATTTAGGTTTTTATTGGGATTTTTTGGAATTTAGGGTGTTTTAATTTTGGGAATTTTAACAAATTTTCTCAAACAAAATCACGTTGTTTTGGGTTTTAAGATATAAACATAATCATGCAAAAATGACATCATTTTGGTGAGGAAATCATGTCAACAATGTCGTGGAGAACGACTACCATGTTATCATCCCATTAGATCATTAATGGTGAAGTGGCATAATTGCACTTAAAGGTAAACATTAGTGCTAAAATTGGTAAAATTGAAAGCTTGGTGGTATAAATGAATCAGTGCTTAGAATTTGATGGTATATGGTGTAGTTTACCTTTTATATTAATCTTAAAATCATTGTTCAAAGACATTTTTAATGTTTTAGTAATCAATTTGTTATTTTTCAAACTTCAATGGAAAAACCTAAAACTTACACAAATATTAGTGATCATTTGTGTAATTTACCCTTTTTTAATTTTATAGATTTATTGTGTCATGTCAGCAATTCGTCAAAGGTCTAATGACAATTAACTCTCAGTGACCATATCTTAATTAAATAAAAATGAAAGTGACCATATCTAAATAAAAATAACGTGACCAGATATTATTCTTTTTAAATTCAGTGAAGAAAAATGTATAAAATTTAAACGAAAGTGATTAATATTGTAGTTTAAAAAAGGGTAAACTGCATAAATGACCACGTAACTATAAGCCAGGTCGTAAAATGACCACCATTTTTAAAATTATGACAAATATACCACTAAAATATTTAAATGGGTTCAAAATGGCCACACGACGTTAATATTTAACGGAGGTGTTTAAGTGACAGTTAAAAAATTGGTATAACTAGGGCACAAATCCTTGTAATATTAAGTATTCGCGGTGTTGGCTCCCTATTTTGTTTTCTTCCATTTTGGCCACTACTTGTATATGATTTGTTTCCTTGGATTTTCATTTAATCCAATTTGATCATGATTTTGTTTTTAATTTTTCTAATGCCTTAATTAAACATTAAAGTTAATCTTGGTGATCAAATTGATTAATTCTAAAATCTAGGGGATTTAATCTACAAATTTAATACATGACTATAATAAAAGATTTTAAAGCTAATGCTTAAATTAAAGCATTAGACAAATTAAAACCAAAATCAGAATCAAATTTGACTAAATGAAAATTCAATGAAATAAATCATATACAAGTAGTAACCAAAATGGGGAAAAAACAAAGCAGGGTGCCAGCGCCGTGAATACATAACTTTACAAGGACCCCTGCACTAATTATACCAATTTTTTAACTACCACGTAAACTCCTTCGTTAAATGTTAACGTCGTGTGGTCATTTTGAACTTATTTAAATAGTTCAGTAGTATATTTATCGTAATTTTAAAAATGATAGTCATTTCGCGACCTGACCCACATTTATGTGGTCATTTATGTAATTTACCCTTAAAAAATGATAATCAGACGGTCCAAAAACACCAAATCAATTCCGAATCGAATGACCATAATACCCAAAATTACAGTCAGTAATCTCCTGACCATAATAGTAATTTCCGTATTCGCCTATATAAACACTAATTTTAGGGTTTTTTCGCTTTCTCACTCCGGATATTAGAACAGAAGCAGCAGCCGCTCCCCTCGCTTCGTATCAAACCAAATTTAGGTCTGCTTATATGTTTTGTTACAGTTTTTCGTTGTTTCTTTTAGTTACGTTCAACGTTAGATCTAATGTCTCTTCACTGTTTATGAACTTCTTTTTGCCTCTCTCTCTTTATGAATTTGTTTATGAATTTATGCAAGTGTTGGTTTTTTTATCAAGTTTAATCTGTTTGAACTGTTTTCAAGGGTTGATTTCTTTATTATCTGTTAACTGCGCTGTTAAGTTTCGAAAATGCTCTTGTATGTATCTTAAATAACCCTTGACCCGTTCGCTGTGGCGTGTTTTTGTTAAATTTGTTCTGAAATTTTTGTCCAGTAATCGCGTTCTAAGTTTGTGTTCAAATTTAGATAGCAATAGTGTCTGTTGAAGTAAGCTCTTAGATGCTAAACTGGAATTCTATAAATCTTAATGTGCAGTTGTTGTTTTGCTGGAGCCTTCTCTTTTAAATTTGTTGCATTGGGTTAGATATATGATCAATAATCTTGTTATTTGATCATCTATTGAAGGATAAAAATTTGAAAAAAATACAAGTCTATGGATCTTAATGATCCATTTCTGCTTTTGCTGGTTTTTCTATCAAATTGGTGAAATGGGAATAGTCTTGTTTTAGCTCCCTTATCATATATAAACAAATTTTATGATCTTAATGTTTTCTATGTTTTCAAGAATAGGATATATGACAGCAATGGTCATATTTAAGCTCCCTTATCAAGTTAGTAGCTAGATTAGTTTTGTACTAAAATTCTTAGATTCTAACTTCGTTTTGGGCCATGTTTTTGAAACAGTGCTGTTTGATTATCCGCACAATGGACTCGCAAATCAAGTTTGCTGTGGTGGTGAAAATTATGGGAAGAACTGGATCAAGAGGTCAGGTGACTCAAGTGAGAGTCAAGTTTTTGGATGATCAGAACCGTTTCATTATGAGGAATGTTAAGGGACCGGTCAGGGAGGGAGATATTCTCACCTTGCTCGAGTCCGAGCGAGAAGCCAGGAGGCTTCGTTGATTTTTTTTTCCCGATGTTTATGTTTGCAAGTATCTTCTTAGTTTTGTTATTTCTGAAAGGGGACTTGGATTTGTGGAGACTGCGTTAGATGGATGAGTTGTTTTTAAAAGCTTAATCACGGTGTTGAAACGAACTAAGCTGGTTTTGAGATTATGATTTTTATCTACAGTTTTTGCTCTGTTTCAATCTTTATTAAGAAGTGTTGGGAATTTTTGATATGTGCTCTTTTGCTTCCATAATGTTTCGATGCTACGTTTAGGGAAATGATTTATTTTGTGCTATTCGTTTTTTTTATTTCTTGAAATATTCCTATTTGACAATGGTGAGGGTGAACAGCTAAATGTTCTAAATTACGAGTGGGTGATCAGGCTGGAAATGATCCTTGATTATGCAACAGTGTCTCGTTACGTACAGTAGAACTTTTTTTTATAAATTAATAAGGATAAAAAATATCATTTTTCTTTGAAATTTATTCTCTTATTTTATTCATTATACTTTTGATTTTTCTAGTTTACTCAATGAATTTTTAAATTACGTTTGTTTTGATCACTCTTAATTATTCTCTGTCATATTAAATTAAATTTGTCTACTGTTGACTTTTTTGGTCAATTGTTTTTAACTTTGATTTATCATTATTTAAAATTTATTTTTGAAAACAATATGAAAAAATGTTTTAAAAATCTTTAATTAAGTAGTTTTTAAATATATATTTTACAAAATTTAATTGTTTAAAATATTTAAAATAATCATGTTTAAAGTTTAAAATTTTTTACTTTTTGAAAGTCAATAATGGACATATGTAATAGGACGGAAAGAGTATTTTATTATTATTTTGTTATGATGTGACATTTTTATTATTTAATATAAAAATAATTTAAAATATAAAATAAAAATAGAATGTGATCGTCCATTATTTGTTGATGATGGATGTGACTATCGAAGGCAGTAGATGGTGGTTGTTCCATTCTAGGTTTCATTGGTCATTTTACCTTGAACCCCTAAGTTTGAATCTGACCTCTATTTTGTCGAAACATGTTTCGAATCCGATCAAAAATGAGAAAATTGAAGTGTCGATCGACGTCAACCGTCGCCTCAACTCCATGAGTCTGAATCAGGCCTCCATTTTGTCTGAACATTCTTTGAAGTCCACGAATAGATCGAAAATGAGGAAATCGAAATGTTTTGGTCGAAATTCATGAGTTTTGGGACAATTTCTGGTAAAATAATCTTCAAATTCGGACTCAGGTGTCGAGATAAAACAACCCATGAAATTTGAGATCAAACGACTATCGGTTCTGGTGGTTGACGGCAGGTGGTGATTATTTTACATCTTTTTAAATTTAATAATAATAGAATAATGTTTTATTATTTATTGTAAATCATTTATATTTTAATAATAAAAATGTCACATCATACTATAATAATAAATTAATTAGAGTGACCAAAATTGGAGCAATTCGAAAGTTTAGTAAATAAATTAAAAAAATCAAAAGTACAGTGAGTGAAATAGGAAGGAGAGTAAAATTCAGTGAGGAATTGTGTAGTTTACCCAATTAATAATTTTGGATCATATAATTTTATTATTTTAAAGAGGTATTAATTAATTGATAAATTAAAATTTTATTAATTTAAAGATTTTTTTTGATTTAACGAACTTATATTATTCTTCATGAATAAAACATGTACATTATATTAACTAATTGAATGATGTTCATGTACAATGTGATGATGATTAATGACTTTCGGCACAACAATAAAAAGATGTCAAACACCAATTGGATTACTCAAGTGAAAATGATACATGTTCAATGGTTCAAAATTTAGAAGAAATTGTAATTAGTGTTATTGAAAATCCTTTTGAGGATGAAATTGTAGACGATACATGACTTTGCAACCAATACATGAAAAGAAGCACTCATAGCAGTAACAACCATTCACATTTTTTTGTTACAATATGAGAACGCAACACAAAAACTTTTGGATGCACTAAGGATAGTTACTAGCTAGTGATGAAATACAACTATATTTAAACTTTAAAAAGAAGCAAACAACAATATAATCATATTTTACTAAGTTGTCTTAGTTATATTTATAATATTATAGAATTATTAATTTATAATATTGAATGGACCATAAATTTATATAATGATCTTTCAGAAAATTGTTATCTTATTAATTTATTGAAATTATTAATTTTGACCTTGGGCTTAAGTTAGGACCAAAAAAATTATTATTTTATATATTTTATTAATTTATTGAGTATTAATTCATAAAGATTATACTGATACCAAACCTGCATTCTGTAATTTGAGAAAGACTAGTAGTATCAGTACCCTTAGTTAGAGTATCGATACTTCACCTTTAGGGTACTGATACCATCCTGGGTATCGGTACTAAATATGGCTATTGAAATTTGTGACTTAACGATGGTATCGATAACTCTCCCTTTGGTATCAGTACCCGACGACCAATATCGATACTATATGCATAGAGTACCGATATTACTTAACCGAAAACCCTGACATTAGTCATTCATATTATTCTTACTGAGTTTTCATGAACACATTTTCATTATAAAGTTAAATGTCAATTTCATTATTTAACCAGTATGCAACTCAAACTATTACTCGCATAGGTTATTTCATTCATTGAGGCTCATAAGGGTAATTTGGTAATTTTAACCCCTAAGGGCATTTTAGTAACCTCTCGCACTTGAACTAGATGCCTGGTCTTAATCGATATTAAACTTTTTCACTTTTGAGTCTATTTGATATCTTGAAGTTACTCAACCACTTTGGGTATTGATACCAAACCTTCAGTATGAATACCTAAACTTTAATGTTGATACTAGTTCATCCGGTATGTATACCAACTCATCCTGTAATATCCCAAATATAATATCAAGGACTATATTAAAAAGATTTGAAAAATTAAGATTTATTTGAATAAGGATAAAATATGAGAAAATGATTTGGAATAGTGTTTAGACTAATTTGTATCAATAGATAAATTAAGAGGGCACTTTGGACTTTTAAGAGGGTGAATGAATTTAAAAATATATCCTTATTAGGGATTTTAAATAGGGGAAAAGAGGAAAGTAAATCATTTTTATTCTTCTTCTTCTCCTTCACGTGAGTAGTGCTCTCCTCCATGGTATAAGGTAAACTTCCATTAGCTAGTTCTTTCTTTAAATTATGGGTTGCTTTGGTAACATTCAGTGATATGTGAGCTTAAAGAAGGACTAAAGAAGATTAAAACTAAGTGGTGGATGTTTTATAGGAGATTTAAAGAAATGGGTTTTTAAATGACATGTTGATATATGTATTTTTATTGAGGTTTATTAGTAAAATTGACTTGTCAAAGGATTGAACAAGAGATTAGAAGCATGAGATATGATTAAAAAAATGTTTAGAAAAATGGTAATATTCTTGAGTTAAGATGTTCCATGAAGATGTTAGATGTTAAAGGTGGCAAAATGAAGTAAAGTTAGTTGGGTTAAGTAAATAAGAGTTAAATAGTTTTGCTATAGGTAAAAGTATAAGATTAGAGGGGGAAATTTAGTGAAATTCGAGCTAAAAAATGGGAAATCTGGGCAATGGTATCGGTACTGATAGAACAGTACCGATACTATAGGTGTAAATAGGTAGAAATGGGAAGAAAAATATCGGTACCTATGCAAGGGGTATCAATACTGATAAGGTATCAATACTAACAAAGGGAAGTATCGATATCATGGATCCAGAATGTCAAAATGGTATCGATACTGAAAAGGAGTATCGATACCATAGTATAGTGGTATCGATACTGAGAGAAGGGTATCGATACCAGGCAACACATAATATATAAATGATATCGATATTGAAAGGGGGTATTGGTACCATTGTATAGAAGTATTGGTACCATGGTAGTAGTACCGATACTAATGAGCTTGGAACGACAAAATAGGATGAAATTGTTATAGAAATTGAAATAATGATATTTTGAATATTCTTAAGTATAATGTTAAGGAGTATACTAACATTGGTATGTTATGTGTACTTAATGGATACTTTTGTAGATCATAACCAAGCTCTTGAATATAGCAAGAAAAGGGGGAAAGATAAAGTTATTGATTAGCCAGACGTCTCTACACCTTATTAGCGAGGATTACCAGGTGAGTAACTTATTGTAAGTATTTGAGAAGAAGAAAATTCAAATTAGAATGTTTAAATTTATATATGTTTTATAATATTGATTGTGTTATCTTTATATGTATGGAAAGAGTATTATGAATGAGTTTTAGAGTATGAACTGATCTAAACTGAATCTATAACTAAAATACATGAAAAGATGCATTAAGGCATGAAAGGATTTCATAACTAAAATGCATAAAAGGATGCATTAAGGCATGAAAAGATGTCATAACTAAAATGCATGAAAGGATGCGTTAGGGCATGAAAGGATGTCATGATTAAAATGTATGAATGGATATATTAATGCATGAAAAAAAGACCATAACTGAAATTAATGAATAATTACTAAAGAAAAATGAACAAAAGAAAAAGTATGTCGTACATACTAAAAATGTTTATGATGATAATATGACAGAAGTTGGTTTCAATAAGAGTGACTTAACTAATCCTTTTGGATGATACAAATTAGTTTGAAGTCAAATAACCATGAGATACTTGTGTATACTTTAATGTTCTTTATAATATTTTGTCTCACTAAGTAAATTTTTAACGTGTATTATTTCCCACACATAGGTAAAAGCAAAGATTAAATGAGTAAGGAGTGTATCTGTAGCAGAGATGGTCATCAATTAAGGTGGACTCATCAGTGATACCAAGAAAATATAGTTTATTTTAGAAAAACTTATTTGGAATGTAATCACAATATTAAAAATGCTCTTAACTTTAATTAAGTAGAACTTATATACGAACAAATATAAGGGGGATGGGTGTTATATTTATTGGTATCAAAGCTACAGGTTTAGTCAATTCTCAGCCGAAACCGGTTTTAATTTTTAAAATAGCAAAGGGGATTACATGCCATAAAGATTGTCAATGTTACAGGTATGGTGTTATTATAGCGAAATTGATAAAACTCCTTACTAATTGTAATTTTATTATTATGTATGTTATAATAGATGTTGTAATTTTCGAATTCGCGAAGAGCTGGGGAACAAGAGATGTAAGAAGGAACTG